CGAGCGCAGGCGGGAGAGGGGACCCGCGGCCGAGCCCCGCAGCGCTTCCTCCACCTGCCTGGCTGCCTCCCCGCGACACCAGGGCAGGCGTGACAGGCCACGTTTTGCCAGGGTTAACCCCGGTGAGCGCGATTCCCCGCTCACGCTCGGGCGAATCCAGCCCTCGGCTCCGCGCCTCCCTCCCGGTCTTGTGCGAGCCCCAAGCGGGGGTTAATTCAGGGCTCGAGGGAGCCGTGCGGTCCGAACGCCCCCAGCCTCCCGCGCTCTCTGCCCCTCAGTATGGACTGTGCCACCGGAAAAGGGGAGGGATGGGAATAGCAAAGCGGAGGCCTGTGCGGGGGAGGGGGGGAATACAGTAAAATAAACACGGGTGGAAGCCCTAAAGAAACAAATGTTTAGTCCCACCGCGGAGTGCAGGAGCTCAGCGACCTTCTCAACTCCTTGCGCGTTGCAAAATAAATAATAATAGTAATAATAATAATAATAATAATAATAATAATAATAATAATAATATACCTTTACCACCATCTAACAACATCTGCCTATCCCGGGTCCTTGGAAGGACTCGATAGGTGGATAAAAATGCCAAATCCAGTCTAAACAACCGGCTGTGCCTCCAACAATAACAACACGAGTCCAACCCGTATTCTCCTGCTGACAACCTAACAGCCGCTACCGTGGCTCCTCCGAGATCCTTCCGTTTTAAAAGAAGAAGAAATGAGGGAAATGGAAGCGAGGTGGGGAGAAGAGAAGAGGAGGGCGGTGCGTCCAGGGCAAACCCGAGCTCTTTCGCGTTGCCAAGAAAGCCGGTCACGGGGACCGGGCAGGGTCGGTCCAGGGCAGCCACCTCGGAGTAAGCGAAAGGCGTCTGAACGCGGCCAACCCTGAGATCCTAACGGGTTTCACGCGGAAACTTGCCCCAAGCGAGCGCAGCGGAGCTCAGGCGAGGTTTGGGCCGCCTCCGCGGACGACGAGCCCAGACTTAACCAAGCCGTTTTTTTCCCCTCCTGCCTAAATAACCACGCTGGTCATCGGGTCCCATTTCTTTCCTCCTTCCTCCTCCTCAGTACGTTTTAAAATGTAAAATATTTATTCAACCTCCTTTCCGCTGGCATTTGGAGACGAAAATTCCCTTCTTCTCGCGCCTCTTTCTTTTTAAACGGGACAAATAATTATCTTAATTAGAAATGGAGGAAGCGGACATTCTTTTATAGATATGCACATGCATGTTGAAATCAGATTAATTTTCTTTCTCTTGGTTAAGAATTTGTTCCCCTAATTGCGCCGTGGGAATGAGAAGGCAGAGAAATTGCCTGGAACCTTTGAAAAATCCGTTTAATATTTGGGAGCAAGGAAATGATTCCATTCTATTATTTAATTCCTCCCAGAATTGTTAGAAGCCCAAACCTGAAACTCTGTAAAATAAGTTAATTCATTTCTTGAATTCTCTCTTCAAAGTGCCTCTGCAGAAAATAATTCTAAGTAGAAAAAAAGCAGGCTCATCATAGAAATAAATGAATAATGATAATGATAATGATAATAATAATAATAATAATAATAATAATAATAGTAAACAAGAAAAAAAGGGGTGGGGGAGGAAAAAAATAATTATAGAAGTTTCTCTTCTGTTCCCCGACTCCAAAGGACCAGGAAATTTCACAAAAAAATAGGACAACACGGATGAAAAATATTTTGAAAGGGCAGTTTCGTTTAAATTTAAAATATTCCCGAATAAATAGCATTTTGCACAGTCAATTTATAAACAGATTATTATTAATACTATTGTTATTTCTGTTATTACTAGAAGGAGCTACGGGAAATGTTTATTTTCTAGTTGGCCGATGAAAGCAAACGGTTGCGAGAAAGAAAAACGAACGAATGCAAAAACCATAAATGCTAATCCCCGATTAAAATGTTGCCGACCGAGGCCACTTGGTTAAGCAAACACATTAAAAGGAAAGGGGGGGGGGGGCAGGCAAAAGAAAGG